TTGCACCCCCATACGTCTTACAACACCGGGTGCCGCCGTCGAGCAGCTACATCGCAGCGCCGGCAGCCGCTGATGAGCGTTGCATCGCAACACCAATGACACTGCACCATGGCGCCCCCATCCGGCTTGCGGTACCGGGAGTCACCGGCGAGTAGCTGCATCGCAGTACCAGATCCGTCGACAAGTCATTGTATTGCAGCACCGGGATCCACCGCCGAGCAGTTGCATTGTAGCACTGGGATCCGCTGCCGCCCTGTGCTGCATGACAGCCCCCAAGCCGACAGAGTGCTGAAAATCGCAACACAGCCGCCGACTTATACTTCATCGATTGGAGCATCTTGAGGGAGCTTCGCAGCATCGATCATGCCGAAAAGAAACCATGTGTGCGCGGAGAGAAAGAGTTTGAGGTGAGAGACGAGAAGAGGATTGCGTGATTTGGGGAAGAAAATGTTTATACAATGTAAAAAAATGTTCGCATAATTCAACGTTGGAAAAATGTTCAGGCAGTTTGACAAAATGTTTCAGACATTCTCAAAACATTTATACAATGTAAAACAAGTTCAATTAATTCATTATAAATGTATGTGACATTTGAAAAATGTACACATATAACATTTTTTGGAACACGTTAAATATTTTTTAATACATGATTTACATTTGCATTTCAAATACATGGTTCACTTTTTTTTAATACGTGTTAAAAAATTTAAGCACACCTGAGCGTTTTTAAAAGGCACGAATCATCTTCCACACTAACATTTTTGTACATTGTATAAACATTTTTAAAACATTTCACTAACATATTTTCGTAACATATGAATATATGAACATTGGCCTAAAATGTCACGTATAATTTTTGGAATGGCATGAACTTTTTCTTGAATTACTCGAGCAGTTTTCTATGATGTATAACCAATTTTTAAAATGTCACACACAATTTTTGAAACGCATGGACATTTTTCAAATGTCACCTGCAATTACTTTTAATAACGGGAACTCTTTTTTAGATTGTATAGATATATTTTTAATGTCACAAATAATTTTTGAAAATGTGTGAACATTTTTCAAATGTTGAATTACGTGACATTTTTATAGTGTATAAGCATTTTATAAAATATCACGGACATATTTTTGTAAAACAAGAACATATGAAGATTGGTTTAAAATGTCACGTATAATTTTTCGAATGTTACAAAACTTTTTTTGAATTACATGAACATCATTTTACACTGTATAAACATTTTCCTAAATGTCATGCACAATTTCTTGAAATAGATGTATAATAAAAATGTACAATGTGTACTGAAAAAGGTAGACATGTGTTGAAAAGAAAGGGGGGTGGGGGTGGTCTCTGTTGGAAAGTCAAGTTGGTCTCAGTTGGAGGGCGACTGGTCTTGATAAACTTTGTTCTCACAAATATGATTCTCTATATTCTCTCTTTTTTCCAACTTTCAAAGGGGTCCCGTAAAGACCGGAATATTTTAGATCCAGATTCTTTTGGCCAGAAGATGAGTAAAAGAAGAAAGACAGACTGGCAAATGGAGTGTTTTCTGTAGGCGAAAAGATCAAGGTGGCCTTGGCATTCATGACCTGCAGGTTCAGAATGGTCCACTACTTAGTAAATGGTTGTTCACACTTCTTACTAAGGATGATGTTTGGCAAATCATGCTGCGCAATAAGTATCTAGCTAGGCCGAAAGGTTGTGTCTCAGGCCTTTTGAAAACCTAGCGACTCACACTTTCGGGCCAGCCTAATGGCGGCAAACAATGCCATAAACTCCAAAAAGAATATTTTATTACAAAAACTATGAAACCCTAAATTTTGAAAACGGCATGCTTTGAATTTGTGAAAAATGACGTTTTCTAATATAAAAAAGTAACTATGGATGTTAAAAAATGTATTTAAACTTGCCATGGTCCTACAATTTGAGTTACCATGTCAACAAAAGAAGAAGAAAAAATGTCATCTCTTAATAATAAAAATGCCATCTCTTCTTAATATAAAATTTCCATATTTAAAGAAATAAAAAGTGTCATGTTTTAATATACGATTACATCTCTTAATATAAAAATGTCATCTCTTAATAAGTAAAAATGTCATCTCTTAATAAACAAGAAATGACATCTATTAATAATAAAAAAATGTCACCTCTTAATAGTAAAAGATGTCATCTCTGAATATAAAATGCCATCTTTTAATGAGAAAAATGTCATCTCTTAATAAAAAAAACTCATCTCTTTATGATAAAAACTGCCATCCTTAATAATAAAAAAAGTCATGTACAAAAACAAAACTTGACTGTTCAAAATAAAACAAAAAAAGGGTGAAATGTTTAAATTGCCATGTGGCATAGTTCAAAAATTTATAAACTGCCATGTTAGTTTTTTCTAGAAAAATTGTCATCTCGTTAAACAAGAAAAAAAGGGATACTGAGATTCAAACCCAACTCTCCTAGGTATAGGGTCGCGTCACTAGCAAATGCAGTGGCTGAAGATGTTTTCAATGGTATTGTGTTTGCTATATTTTATCTTAAAGTGAAGTAGTCTCGAAATCTGACGTACCTTCGATCCAACGCGAGAGAGCGCGTTCGCTGGGATTGGCCCCCCAGCGAACGTTTGCCAGTTGCTATTTTCCCATCTTTTTTATGGAACCATTATGACTTACTATATTAATTTAAATCACACTTACATCGTCAATTAACAGCGATAAAAATAAAGGTAGGGGGATCAGCAGCCCAAAAACACTTCACTGAATTACACTCCCGGGCTAACATATGCGCCACACGATTTGCTTTCCTTGGACAATATGTGAATTGAACGTTGTCGAATGAGCTTGCTTGGATGCATATGTCCTCGAGCAGT